GCAGGAAGAGGGCGAATCCAAGGCCTTTGAGCCCTGGGAGGACATTCAGGAGAACTTCCTGTACTACGAGGAAAAGTTGGCCGACATCCTGAAGTAGGCGACTGCGCTCAGCCTCACGTGAGTCATGGCATCATTACTCCAGTAACAGGGCTGAAGGCTGGAGGTCAGGTGGAACCAGTGGGGTTAGATTTTCCTTGGGAAAGATTTGATTTGTCTGCTTTGGAACAGCGGTTCTCAACCTGTGGAGGTCAAATGACCCTTTCACAGGGGTCGCCTAAGACCATTGGAAAACACATATAATTACATATTGTTTTTGTGATTAATCACTATGCTTTAATTATGTTCAATTTGTAACAACAAAAATACATCCTGCATATCAGACATTTACATTACAGTTCACAACAGTAGCAAAATTACAGTTATGAAGTAGCAATGAAAATAATTTTATGGTTGGGGGTCACCACAACATGAGGAACTGTATTAAAGGGTCGCGGCATTAGGAAGGTTGAGAACCACTGTTTTAGAAGATCCTCTCTCCTTTTATTTCCTCTAAATTCCTCTCCCTAAATCTTTTTCCCTCCTACTCTTTTTATATCAGACTAACTTTCCCTATAACATGGAATCGTAGGGTTGACAGGAATCTAAAAGCTTTCATGAGAAAGTCTGTATTAAGGTTTAGATGGCACAAGAGCCTACTACTGGAAAACAGCCTAGAATATATTTCAATCTCCTAAATATGCCCCCATGGGCGTGTATCCAGAATTAGTAATGTAGATGCCTTGCTCCCACCTCCATTTGCAATCCTACCATTCCATTTTTTCCTCTAAAACAGGTGTTTCATTCTATTGGGGGTAATTTTTTTTTTTCCATTTTTGATACTTTTGAAATTCCCCAATTTTTGGCCAGAGCAGCTTTCATGTTTTCAAACAAATGATTCTGCTTTGAGGGAGACCAATACTTGCTGTGTGAATGTATAATGCAAGAACATTTTCCCAATGTTGAAAAGACAGAACTCAGAAAAAAATGCTGAATGCAGGGATGGGGATAATATAGCAACACGCTTTTCCATGCAGGAATGTTTAAAGGGTTAAAAAGATGTTTGTAAATTAGGCCGCAGCTCAGAAGTAGCCTCCTACAGATATCAAGATGTAATAGGAGAACTGGAGGTAAAAATTAGCTATTTAAGTAAATAATTAGGACACAATTAAGGCCGATTTGGCCTCTTGCTGAGGGTAAATTAGACTCTTACAGAAACAGGCCAATTACCCTCAGGAAAGAGGGTAAAGAATTCTTTACTATCTTTTTTTGAATTTGGTCTATTCTACTTTGCTCCCACAGCAGTGCTATGTATGACTAAGTCCCTTTACTAGGCCTGAGTTACTGATCAAAGTCCTCCGGTAACAGGGAATGGGTCTTCACCACCCTCTTTAAGAAACCTTAATTTTGGAATAACATATTACGAAAACAGAAAAGAAGCATGCTTCCATGAAGTTATTCATTTTTGGTGTCTCTCTTCATATACTTAAGATTCACTTCATAAACACGTTTTGAAAATATCAATTTCTGGAGGTTGGTGTTGGCAGGAGTGTGCTATTAGACATGCACTCAGGGTGCCTGGTCATCCTCCAGATCAGTGGTCGCCAACCGATGGTCCGTGAGGTCCCAAAGGTTGGCAACCGCTGCTCCAGATGAGCACTCGCCAATCCATAAAGACACAATTTTCAGCCATTTCTTACAAAAAAAAAACAGGACCCATTCATTGAATTCAGTGAGACTATGGTCAGGTAATGTCACGTGGTACTCTATGCATATAAAATAAGACACCACTTTACGTAGTAATACAATCAGATTTCTAAGGGTGACGTTTGAAGATACAAAATTAGCTTTTAAATTCCTTGAAGATTTTATTAGGGTAATTATAAACCCTACATAGATTCTACAGAAAGACTAGTAGCTTAATTTTTAACCCTAGTATACTTCTTAAACATCTTTCAGAGTCATGGGCCACTTCTTCCAGCTGCCTAACTAGCAGGTCCTCAGGGATTTGTGTATGTTGTTGTTGTTTTTCCCTCATTAAGTCAAATGAGATGGCTAAATCTGCTATAAAAATTAAGCATTTCAGGGAAGATTAAATAGAGCTTTTAATTTTAGATAATTGAGGGTTGTACCTTATGCTAATCTAAACAGAAGTAAATAGATAAATCAGCTTGATGGAAAAAGTGCATTTCTAAGTCAAATTCTTCTTGAAATATTATTGGACATTTTCCACATTATAAGCCTCTTTCCACTAGTGGACATACCTATATTATCTGGACCCATTATTAACATGCTTCCCAGTACTCTATTTGAGTTGCTCATGTTCCTGAAGGAAAAGGTTAAAATGTACTAAGTTTAAAAAAAAATAGAGTTGTTACCTACAAGACCAAACAAACAACTCTGCTTAATTAAAATAATCCCAAGAAATAGGCATTTGCTAAAGAAAAATTTCCTCATATTTCTTATTCCATCTTTTTAAAAATGACAGACTAGGATTTAGCCATGTATTCAACTCAAGAGAACAGAGTTAAAGCAGATTTCTTCTGGGCTTTTCTGTGTGAACCATACCAAACATGAATGGAACAGATTCAACCCTGGGTAAACCAGAAGTCACAGGACACAATGGAGAAATTCTGGGACTTGGGGAAGGCACACAGAGACAGTAATTAAAACAGAAAATTCTTCATTGTTTGGGGCCAGCACGGCTCTCAGTAATATGTTTTCTGTTTTCTCAAGGTCTGCCTGCTGCCAAGAGATGGCGGTGACATGTATGGGCATCTGGGACACGCCTGACTTCCTAATACCACGTGGAGCTGGACAACATTTAACACCAACCAATCCCACTGCACAAGACCCTCTAAGGACTCAAAATATACTTCTCATGCTATAAATCATTTTAGCGGTGCCTCTCTCTCTAAGGCTGCTCTTGGGAAAGAAGAGAGTTGCAAGGAGAAATAGCAAACATATATGGGCACCAAGTATCATGGTCTGAGGGTCCTAATTATTCCCCCAAATGGGCTGCTTAAGACAAAGAGCCTCGGACCCAAGATCTGTGCAGATTTTTTAAATATGTCCAGAAATGCATTTATGTTAAGTTGGTCTTTTTTTTTTTAAAGAAAAATAAGCAGCAATAATAAAAGTGGCGTGGTTTTTCTGTGACCAGGTTTTTAAAGAAACTTGGACATTTAGATGGTAACTATGGACAGCAATGAAGTCCCAGGAACAGGGATTTCCCAGGCTACATTTTAAGTGGGAGGGAAGCTTAAATCAGAACCTGGCTAGGCAACACAGGATACTAACTCTCCCATGTAGACTTCTCATCCTGGTCTTGACCTTCATAAAACATTTCCTTCCAAGATTCCTTAGTAGAGGGTGAAACGAAAGGCATGGGAAATACTTCTAAAATATCCATGTCCCAGCAGCCAACTAATAAGCAATCAGCCTCTTGATTAGTTAGAGGTGAGTAGGATTTTAATGTTCACATGCACAATATGAGGAGTCAACATGCGGTACTTGACGGTGATGGCAGGATGATGTCAACGTCTCATTTCTTAAAAGATCTGAGTCCTATGTAGAAGTAAAATTTCACATGTGAATTGCTGGGTAGCTGCCAAACTCTAACTAGGTTTCCAGGAATAATGTGCTTATTCTGATTATCAGGCAATGCCTTTCTCCAGGCTTTGAGTGTGATAAGTCATCGGAATTTGACCCCAAGACTATCTACAAATAACAAAACATTTTATCACATCCCTGCTGAGTCCAGGAATTCCACTTACTGCCAGTTCTCCACAAAACTAAGCTTTGTTAAAAGAATCGTGAAGGTTCTTACTCCATGAGAAAAAACTGCCCTATGTAGAAGCAGCAATGTTTTCACCCAAGTGTTAAGATTTATGTGCATAGTTTGCAAAATAATTTAATTCTAAGTTTTCTCTTATCACCCATTCTCATTTTCAGTTTTGTGTATTGAGACATTCCTTCCCTTCTTTCCCCCTCAGTTTTACTACTAATAATGAACAGAAGCAAAGCTTCTTCAAGAAAAGCTTAGTCTAGAAGTTTGATCATGAACTTGCTCCTGCCCTACCCCACCCCAACTACATGGAGAGCTGTGTGTTCCACACAGAGGTACAAAAGATGTTGAATACTTTTTTAAACTGCTGCCTCGTATCAGGCTGCAATGTGATAAGAACACAAGTCTAAAGTACAAAGGTTATATTTAACCAGTGCTCTCCTGCTGTTTCAACAAGCACATTCTAAAATCCACTTCTTGTCCACTTGAGAAAGCAAGTCCCATGAAGGCCCAGAATTCACTCAAGGGAGAAAATCAATAGTAGGTCTAACTGTTTTAACTCATAACACCATAGTACAGGGGACGGGGGCGGGGAGGGGGGGTGATGAAAACTCCACTTGTTTCCCAATACCCCTGATACAGAACCACTGGCTAAACTCATGAACTTTCTTTTCCCACCACAAAAACAAGAGTAGACAAAGTGCTGCTTTCTTAGCTTAAGAAGAGGATTAATATTTACTGCTCTCCCTCCCAGCTAGTTATACCTTAGTGTCCTCTGGAGCTTAAAAACAAAGAAACCTGGCCATCGTCCCTAACCCCCCTACTACCAAAATAGAAGTTTTTTTTGGAAGTGAGTCTTTTTTGAAGAAGATTCATATGGATTGTGTTGAGAAGTCATTACTCCTCAGTAAGCACTTTGCCAAGCATTTACCATACATTATTTCATGTTTCATGACTGAATTCAGAAAGGTTCACAAACTATGTAGTGAACAGAAGAGTTCACCATGAGTGGTTTCTAAAATCCGCCCTACCAGTGAGCTGACCCATAGAGGCCATCCATTTTTATTTTTCACCTTGCTGCCTTCCCACTAGACCCCTGATTTTTCCAAATTAAATTATAGGTGAATCCTCCGTTATCCAAGTCCAGAACAACACAAACATGTGTACAGAACCTCACTGTAGCCCAAGAAGATATTTATTTTCCCACTTTTCCCCCCACAAATTCCTTGTTAACAATGTAAAAATCCATTTTTGTAATTTAAACAAAAGAAACGCACCTCAAAATTCTTTCCTAGGATGAATTTGAGGGCATACGGATAATACAACGTCAATGCACAAATGACAAAAAATGCAAAATTAACTGAAAGTTATTCTTCCTGAAATTTCTCTGAAACAGCAGAGAAGTAGAATCAATGCTGCCACCTAGTGGCAAGCCAAACAAATTAGGTAGCATCCTGGGGCAAAAAGGATCATAGGGCCCAACACCTGGTTCCCTGCCTAATATCAGGCTATTACCTACCTTGCTGAAAAGAAAAGAAAAAAAATCACAGCAACATTTCCCAAGCAATCCCTCCTTCGGAGTCCCAGTCCAATCATGGGAATACAGAAACCCAAGCATGGCCTGTGACACAGACAATTTCACATGAAACTTTCCTCTGATCATTTTTGAAGTCAGTTTGCCCAGTCCTGTGGCCCAGTAGGAATGACACAGGAAAACATGGTCACATCCAAAATGCTCATCTGTTCAGAGTGTGTACACAGTAATTCTGATGTCTGTTGCCTCAAACACCTCCTCAATTATTGTGGATACATTTTCCCATTGCAGACGATCAAGACCACACCCAATCCTGAAAAAGATAAAACATCTCCATTGGTTGCCATGAAGGTGTCTAGGAAATCAATCCTGCTCTCTTCCTTTAGGCTGCATTCCCCCAGAGCATGAGAACCAATGATCTGATCTCGCACTATAGGCAGCCATGGTGGAAGCTTGGCATTCCTGTTGTGAGTCACCCAAGGCTGTTCCTGACAGCACCAACATCCCACAGCTGTCACTTCTCTTTTACCTACTTGTTGCCACTTCCCCATTGTCCAAGCAACATTGAGCAATGTGTAACTGCTGTGACACGGGACACACACTATCCTTCTATGTCTGCTGATGAAAACTAGCTGTGGGAGGATGGGGGAAGACTGGCATTTTAAAAATACTTATGATCATGGAAAGTTAGGCAAGATAAAAGAAAAAGAGGACAAAGGACAGGATCTCTGCAAAGAAAGAAGATGGAATGCTGAGAAATGTCAAGCTGACTGCAATTCAGTTCTTTGCAACACCCTGGTGAAGAACCTTTACTGACCCACAAACTCTATTACCTAGCACCTTTCTTCTAAGATGTTGCCTTATTGATCCTCAACATCTCTGGGGGGAAAAAGAAAGGCTTTAAAATGCTAATCTCATGTAATGTGATGATTAAGTCCCTGAAAAAATATTTCGATTTTAAAAAGTTTATGATACATAATCCTTAAGTATATTAAAGACCAGTGTAAGACGAGGGACCCTGTAGTCACTTAAGTAACTTAGAGCTTGAAATAAACCCACATGCACGGTCAGCACTGACTCAAAACTAGACTGACAGAAAGAGAGGTGAGCGCAAGCCTATTTCCTGAAAAGGATACAAAGGGCCTACTGAAAAACCCCAATGTCATTCCTTAAGTTGCCAATAGGGAGGGTCTAAGACAGTGATGGTGAACCTTTTGAGCTCGGCGTGTCAGCATTTTGAAAAACCCTCACTTAACTCTGGTGCCGTGTCACATATAGAAATTTTTTGATGTTTGCAACCATAATAAAACAAAGACTTATATTTTTGATATATTTAAATGCCATTTAACAAAGAAAAATCAACCAAAAAAATGAGTTCGCGTGTCACCTCTGACACGCGTGTCATAGGTTCGCCATCGCTGGTCTAAGACATTACCTCAGGGGTATATCCTCTGGCTACTGCCCAAGGTGACCATCAACAAGCAGGCAGTTTAAAAGGCAGAGATCCTTTACAGCTTTTTTTGCGCAGGATAAACAGGTTTGGGACACCTGCAGTGGCCCAGAGGGAAATCACAATTGCTCTGTCTTGGTTCTTAAGCTTACATTGCTTCAGGAATCAAAGCTAAGATTCAGGCAGAGGACACAGAAATTTAACAAATGTGACTGAACAATGGTTCCTCCCTACTACATAGGTTGAGGCAGGTGTGGGTTTTAATTATCCTGAGTCACTCAACCCAAGCTAAGAAACGGGTATGCTTTGGTCTAAGGTCTGACGACTGGTTCACTGGTGATATTTTTAAAGTTTTGAAATTTGCCCACCTTTAAGTCTGTATTTTGGATTAAGCTTGTAAGTCATTTGTCTAAACCCCACCAATCAGGTCTTCACTTAGGGCCCTGGATTTCCTTGCCTGGGCATGGAGAGGTCTGTGACTCCATTCTTCAGACAATGGGACTTCATGGCCTCTAAACTCTTCTGTAAGTTTTCATAAGTTGGCTTGTGTGAAGCCCTTTTCTTTGTAATCTGAGTAAAGAAAGAATCCAAACTTCTCTTAGTCCAAAATGATAGCCAAAGAAAAGCCATCACATCTCCCAACATCCTGATAATTGAAACAAAAAGTGTATTTTTATAGAGCAGTCTAAAGCAGGGATGACAAATGTCATACTGTCCCTTCCAGTTATGGGAAGCCTTCAGGAAAATCAACTAAATAGGGCCTGAGAAACCCAGACACTGCCAGGTAATAATCTTTCCTTCTCTCAAGCCCAGGAGGTTAACAGGCTGTGCCTACTGTGTATTGTTTCTAAGCCAAGTAGGTGAAAGTCTTTGTGCCACTTCCAAGAGATGAGCTGCATATCTGTAACAAGAACCCATACCACTCAAAAGCGTCCTAAGTTTATTTACTTAGAAACGATGCTTGCTTGCCCTTTGTTTCTCCATAAAAGAACAGAGACAAGCTGGAAGTACTCCAAATAATACTGAAGTCCCAGCAGCCTTACAGACAGCTTTCAAAGACGTGACACCCTTAGTGCGCTGTCCACACCAAGCTCTCAGTGGGCTGGCTGGAAGTCACCCAGCACCATCGCCAAGAAGCCACTCTTTCTGGGGCTGCGGACCATGTGCACAGGGGAAGACTCCCCGCTGAGGCAGCAGGCAGGCAAGCAGCTGAGTGCATTTGATGGAGAAGGATGAAAAACTGCTTTGGGCAATCTGTCTCAAGACATGATAGTTTCTCTCTCTCACTATGAGGAGGAAGGAATTCAAGTACGAGAGGCATCCCTAACTTTTCCAGGTCTTAGAGCACAGGCCCTGGGAAGACGTCACAGTACTCCTTCCCATGGAGCTGGATGCTTCTCTTCTAACCCGGAGCTCCACAGCCTCCCCACTGGACCTGAGCTGGCATGAGATCAGACGCTTTTTGACATCTCTGGTTGTCTAGAATGGACTATCATGATCAACACAAATTCAGTGCAGCCTATCTGTTCACCAATCCTTAGAACATATTGAGAATAGGCCCCATCTTACCAAGTAATATATGTATCGCCCATCTCTCTTCAGAACAGCCACTTCTCCAGATTTCTTTTCTAAGAAAAAATCATTTAATAGTAGAAAGAAAAATGAAAATCAAAACACTGAGCTCCATTTTTAGATTTAAAAAAAATCTTTAGAGTGGTTTACCTAAACCTATTGTCGCCTATGAACACTTTGCTCAGCAGCTTTCCTAAATACTGTATTCCTTAGCATCCAGCTTTCTTAATCATGTTTTCTCAACCCTATTCTCCTCATACCCCATCTCCTGTCCTGCTCCTATTTTCAAGTACACCCTTACTGTTCACTTAAAAACTTTGTCTCCTGCCTAGAAATGTTTTAGAATATACAGCATTCTTCCTTTGCCAAATGCATGTTCACTTTTACATACAAAGAGCTAATGTTTAGCCCAGCCGGGTGTCGCTTAGCGGTTGAGTGTCCACCCAGGAACGGAGAGGTCACCAGTTCGATTCCCAGTCAGGGCATATGCCCGGGTTGCGGGCTCGATCCCCAGTGGGGGGCATGCAGGAGGCAGCCAATCGGTGATTCTCTCTCATCATTGATGTTTCTATCTCTCTCTCCCTCTCCCTTCCTCTCTGAAATCAATAAAAATATATTTTTTAAAAAAACAAAGAGCTAATGTTTAAGCATTATGGGGAACGTAAGTGTACAAAAAAGTTTCTAATTATAAGCTTTCCATCAAGAAAAAGTGTCATGTCCATATAATACAATACAAAGCAGCAAGAAATTGCTTTTTTAAAGGCTGGAATCAGAACCACTGGTGGAGAAGGTGATTGAATAAGCCTGGACTGTGGTCTGAGCGACTGCTTCAGAAGCTCCACATGACTCTACTATACACCTCTGGTTTTAAATCACTGGCGGGAAGTGACAGGAGAGGTATGTAAGCAAGAGGATTCTAAACTCCTAAAGGCAGTACGGGTAAACAGAGGCTCTTGAATGCCACACCAGTAACTGTGGGTTTTGCTAAGCACTTCAAAATAATTAAGGTTTCCAGAGAAGTGGAGTATTATCAATAGAGCTTTATGTTAGAGGAAGAAAAGAATAGAAACGTTTACAAGAACTTTGGGCGTAATAAGGACCCAAACTAGAGGCTATTTTTGTGGAGGAAAAACTTAATCTGATGAGTAAAATGAAAGTACTCAGTGGTCAGGAGCCTCCTGTTTACATGTATATCTTGTTTAATGAGTACAACAGGAGGTCAAAAGATGCTCCCGCCAGGGAATAAGAGTTCAACTGTTTTTCAAAACTCACGTTGATTTAACAGTTCCTGCACCCCTCCAAATTTCTTCTTGAAGAGGACAGCTATCCCAGCGCCCATGCGACAGTCCTCACTGATACAGTGGGCTAGAGAGTCTGTTTTGGGGCATGCAAAAAGGTCTCCTTTCACATAGGTGATCTAAAATGTGCAAAGGGGGACAATGTTTTATTAGCTACAGAAAAATACTAGTTCTCCTTTACCGTACCCACCACCCCGCCCCACCTTCTTGATCAAAAGCCAACTCCTTAGAATGTAAGCAGTGAACCACGCGAATTAAAGCCTATGTCAAAGGAAAGTGACGGCCGGTCTCTGTCTAGGTGGCATTAGCCTTTCCAACATAGATCAGCTGGGGCGCGGGGGTGGGGGGACAATTCAATTATTGGTTTCATGAAAAAGTGTTTATGTTTGTGACCTCAATTATTCTGAATTTCCGTTCACCGTAAGTGAGTGGTTATTACGCACTCTGCTTCCTTCTGCATCCTCATTGGGGCTGCTGGCCATGACGCCGAGTTGCTATCTCCAGGATTTAAATGCTTCTCCAGCTATGAGGAGGGAACAGTCAAGAAAAAGGCCCAGGCAGCCTGAGTATATTGCATTCAGATCGCCCTGACCACCCACTTCTTCCCCTTCTCCCCCCTAAACGTCTACCCCTGCATGTGACATCCCTGCACGTGACCTCGGCCGGCCCCTAGGAAATCTCACAAGGCGCCTGGGGCCAGGAGCGGGCAATGCCCAGCCGGGCCCGCTCGCATTTCGCGCCTTCCCGGGGCGCCCGCTCCGCCCTCCAAGAAAAGGCGGCCCCAGGGCACGCCTCCGCCTGCCCGGCGCCCGGCGGGCCTAGGGCAGCCCCGAAACTCGGTGGGTTTGGCCTCGAAAAAAGGAGGGACTTCGCGCCCCAACTCGGGAGCGTACGCGCAGGGGAGGGTACTGCCCGCGCAGGAAGGAGAGGGAAGGCGGCTTCCCAGGCTCACTCCCCTCGGCTGGGGGAGGAGGGCGGAGCCTAGAGGAGCCTCCCACCCTCGTCTCCTACCCCACGGTCTGTCAGCGAGAGTGCACAGCCTGTCCCGGGGTCCCGTGGGGAGGAGCGAGGACGCTCGCTCTCAGCCTCAACGTACCGGGGTTACCCTGCACCTGAAGTCGGCCGTTAGGAGGTCCCGCCCCGCGGGGAAGGGCTCCAGACCCGGCCCTGGTAGGTGGGGAACGGCCGACGACACCAGACGCGGAACCAATCCCGCCACGGCCCTTGAGAGTACGCACCTAAGATGGCCGCCCACCACCCGGGAGCGACGCGGGAACGGGCCCCTCTAGCTAGCTAGCCCGACCAGCACTCTTTGGTGATGGCCGCCGAACTTCCGGCGGTGCATACCGTGCAGTTTCCCTCCGCCACCCGAGCATGCGTAACGAGACCGCCACCGCGAGCGGGAAGGAACGGCGCTTGCGCATTAGCCCGGGGTGTGCCTCCCCTGGCCGCAAAGAAAGGGGTGGGAAGTTGGCCAACGAGCTAGTTAGCGCCTGCGTAGTAATATGTTCAGGGCAGTGTCCTAGTCGAAGGGCCTGGCGCGTCTAAAAGACGCCGGCGTATCTTTTCCGTCGGGCGGGGTAGCTATTCCGGAAAGTGGGCGTGGCTTCGGGGACGCCTGCGCAGTGCTCCTTCGACGAGGGGTGGGGCGTGCCCCGAGCAGGGTGTTAGGGGGCGTGGTTTCCGAGGCGCCTGCGCGGAGGCGGTTGGAGGGAGGCCCGATTCCCCTTTGTTCAGATTCGCCATTTTGCGAGGCAGCGGCAGTGGCGGCGGCAGCGGTGGCTGGAGCCTCTGATTGGGTTTCGGAGTCCGGTAGTGGAGCCAATCAGCGCGGGCAGCGAACCGGGGGAGCGAGGCACGGTGAGTATCAGGAGCCAATATCCAGCGGCCCAGAGCCGGCCCCAGCGCCCGGATTGGCGGGTCTCGCTGACCACTCAGGAAAGGCCCAGGCTCCCGTCGAGCCCGGGGAGTCGAGCTGAGCCTAGCCGAGCGGGGCGGCAGGCGGCCCCGGCCCAGACCCTGCGAGCGCCACGGGGCACTCCCGGCCGAGGCCTTCAGAGGGCAGCCCCGCGCGGGGATGGGGCCCCGGGGGGCAGGCACCTCGGGGTCCTGTGGCTTGCAGGGTGCCAGTGCCAGCTGGGGATGCGTCCGGGCGCCCCCGACCCTGAGGCTGAGGTTCTCGGGGCTCCGGCTCGGGAGTGGCGGGCCGGCCTGTCATGAATGTTCCTACACTCAGGTGCGCACGGCTCGGCGGTTTCCTCCGGTCGTTCGGGCCTCACACTGAAGCCCGTCCTTGCACTCCCCGCGCTGCGGCCCTCGGGACGGGAACCTGCCCCCGCGGGGCTCGCGTCCCCCGGGCCTCCGGGAGCCGTGTCTGTCCGCCGCCCTCCGGGCTCGGCAGGGGGGCCTGGGGAAGACTCGGCGTCGCGGCCACGGGGCCCCGACGTGCGGCGGGAAGAGGGGGCCGGGCCGTCCCGCCTCGGCGCCGGCGGGGCCGCCCCCGCCGTTTCCCGGGGCCAGGGAGTCGGCGAGTGCGCCCACCCTCCCAGCTCTGCCGGGCCCCTCCTTCCTTCCACCGGGCTCGGCTCGGGGGCCCGGGCCGGCGCCGTTACCACCCCCTTTTGGCTCGTCATTTCCTCTCCCCGCCGCGCTCGCCGGGCCGCACCGCACACCTCAGTCCTGGAGCCCGACCAAGCGGGCTCCCCTTTCCTGCCCGGCCCGCTCGTGCCGGGAGCCTCACTCCCGGGAGACGGCTCGCCCTTCGCATTTTTTCCCCGGAAGCCGCACAACTTGCTTTTCACACTTAGTTCTGCCTCGTGAACTCGTCCTCCCTTGACCGTGTGCATTCCTTTTCCTTTCACCTTTCCGTGTCACTTTGAACGTGTCTTAGTTCAATCCACAGCTACTCTTGGTTTATTTTTTTCTAATATACTTTCCAATTCCATATTAACGTGTTTTTTCAGGAGGTATTGTTGGGTTTTAGGGTAAGAAAACCTCTCTGTTGACAACCAAGTATGGGACAGTTAGCAGTGTGTACCGGGCACCGGCATGTTTGATGGGGAAGGAGTGGGCAGATGTGAATGAGAATCTGCCCTGCCTAGCGGAGATTGACAGGTGAACGGCTGATCAATACCTAAGGGCAGTGATGTAACGGGGCCAGGTTCCGTTTTGTGCAGGCAGCACTGACGTGGGAGCTGCCCACAGCCTCCTGGAAGCTTTCTGTAGCCGCCCCTTTGCTGGACCTCGGGACGATGGGGTTCCTTCTGACCGGAGAGAGGAGCAGGGGCACCGAGGTGCTGTCAGCGGGGCGGGGGACAGAGTAGGCAGTAGTGGTGAGAGTCTAAGGTTGGGAACACAAGGTTCTGACTTGCGGGGTTCTGTCCCATAACAGCAGCTTCTTTGGGGGGATAAAGGGAGATTTCCCTAGGACTTGATAAAAGTTTTTACTTATGTGAAGCACCTAGTGCAGTCCCTAGCACACAGTAGGCCTTCAGTATATGATGCCCGTTTTTCTAATCACATTTACTAAAGTCATACAACCGGTAGGTTTCAGAAAACAACTAATCCAGTGTTGTTTCATTCTTATCCACAGTAATAGATGTGCAGTGTGTCTTAGATATTTTTTAGAACATATCACTTTTTAAAAATATGTTTTTATTGACTTCAGGGAGAGAGAGAGAATCATCAATGATGAGAATCATCCATTGCCTGCCTCCTGCACACCCCCTACTGGGTATGGACCCTGAAACCCAGGCATGTGCCCTCACCGCCTATCGGATCACTTTAAAGCCACCAAACACTTGGCTAGACTTTCTAAGACAGCGGTTGCCAACCTTTTGGACCTCACAGATCCGTGTATAATCTGGTTACTTTTTTGCTGAACACCTGGAGCTCCCACCTGTCTACAGAAGCACTTGGAATTTTGAGAGACAGTATCTTTCACTTGCGGTATGGGCCTTTCAGTCTGCTGTTCATATGCTGAAATTTGTGTCCTTGTTACTATGTTGGTTGTTCATTTGGAGTACTCCTCCCCTTCCCACATCATCACATACAAATCTTGCTTCACTTGCCACCAGGTCAGATGCCACGTTTTCCTAAAGTATTCCTTGATTTGTCTATCCCCAGTAGAAGAAATCTCTCCTCCAGATTGCCTTATTACTTTGTTTCTCTTAGATTCCAGTACAGATTTTTACTCCTTTACTAAACTTAAAGACTCTTTGAAGTTAGAATCTTTGTTAGAGTTTCTTTTTCTAAAACCTGTAAGGCAGTGTCTGGGACATGATACATCATTAGTGGAGAAGCTCTGATCCAGAAACCTCTTGAACAGAACATTAAGGAAGCGGGACAGCTGTTAGTTCTAGTCTCTTATCAAAGAACCAGGACCCAGTTGTTGAGTTGTAAAATCAATTTAGTGGGCTAATGCTGGTGATTTTTATAATACAATAGAAAGTATCAAAGTGTATATTTTATGTTATAAAGATAAGTATTCATCACCTGACCAGCATGGCTCCGTGGTTGAGCGCTGACCTATGAACCAGGAGGTCACGATTCAATTCCTGGTCAGGGCACTTGCCTGGATTACTGGCTCAGATTCCCAGTGGGGGGCGTGCAGGAGGCAGCCAATCATTGATTCTCTCTTATCATTGATGTTTCTATCTTTCCCTTCCTGGTGGGTGGGGGGGGGGGGGATATATATGTAAAAGATAAGTATTCATGAACCTTTTGTTTCAGTTACTTTTTTAATGTTTGATAGGAAATGTGTTTCTTACTGTGAATTGTGGTCAAAGAAGTTTGAAAGCTTCTATTCTAGACTTTTCCTGCTAGTGACTGTCAAATATGATAATTTTGAGGGCTTTTACATGCTTACAGTTGACTCTAGAAGTTTAAGCTTTAAAAATATGTGTGGGTCCACATAAAATGTATTCCTAGTAATTAGCTACATTCCAGGTTCTGTGCCTTGAAGTGGAAAGAAGAGAATTTTCATGCTAGCCAGAATAAACACACACTCTCTGAGGAAAAACATTCAAAACTTTGAGTTAGAAACAAGAGCTAGACAGGCTAAATCTGGCTGGCTTAATTTTGTCAGAATCTTGGGCAAAGTAGCACTTGAGGAAAGACAGTGTCAGGTTTATTACAGTCCTGTTATTGGTGAGAGGACTAGATCTTGGTTCGTGTCTTCTTGAAGGAAAGATTTCGATCAAGAGACAGAGTGCAACAAAGCCAGCAAAAACACACTTAGGACAGTGAGCCAAGGAAGGGCATCGAAGAAGTAACAGGAGCCTAGGCTGCGCTGCTTTGGCTCACTGAGAAGTCAGAGAAAAGGGGGCATCGGAGACAGGTTTGGGGGCTCAGCCTGGGACAAGCTGCTGCTGCTCATTGCTCCCCTGGTTGCATGTCTCACTGGGTCTCTTACAACAAAGAAGAGGGTCAGGGAATGGTGGGGGTGTGCTGCCCTGGGGGCGAGCAGGCACTGGATCCTTTGTGTTGAGGGTATTTCTCTCTCCCTTGCAGGTGGGAATCTCAGGGGAGGGCCTCACGGTTCTCCAGGTGTGCTCTTTCATGGTCCTAGTCTCCACTGATTGATCAGCCCCAGGGCAAGAGGTCATTAGTGCAGCTGGTCCTGAGGCTGCCATGGCATGCTTGTCTGGTTTTGCTGCTTTTCTGGGCCTGGAGCGGAAATACAACAGAAGCCTAGATGCTATCTTTAGGGAGAAAAAAGTCAGGAGTCTAAACCACATAACTAGAGGTATGAAAAGTCAGGAAAGGAAAGGTTACCCTGGGGTGAGATTCTTTGTTTTCCCAGTTTTACCCCTTGCTAGGCATCCAGGGCTTTCTGCCCTCAGGAGTTTCTGTACTAGCCCTTTGTCCTTGCTCTGCTCATGTCTGTCTAACTGCCTGTAACAGTTCTGCTAACTGAAGCTCACAGCAGTAGGACATATGGCTTCACTTGAAGCTAGTGGTGTTACTGAATTCACCATTAGCAATCTCAATATCATGTTCCAGAATGAATCACTTTCACATTAATATGAGAAAGGATTGCTTTTAGATTTGAAACTGCTCTTTTTTTTACCCTTCAGAGTAGAGTAGATTTAAATGTTTTTAATTTGGAGCAGTTGTGTTATGAAATAAATTAGTTAAGAAAATCTGCATGACCTATTTATTAGTATTCATATGCTATTTGAGTAAGATGCAAATTTCTGGAAATTAGTGGTCAAGAAAAGAATCTCATACAATAAGGGGATTTGGATTAGGGGAGGTGTGGAAACGTAGAGGACAGTTCTTCTTGATACTGTGGACGAAAAGGAGTTACATGCTAACCTGACCAGCTCAGTGAAAGTCTGCATGGCAGCCTTGCAAACCCAGAGAACTAAAGTAACCACAAAGAATGGTCTAAAATTAAAACTTTTTTAACTACGAGCAGTTTATGGTGGGTAGTCATGTCCTAGGCCAGTATCTTTCCTGAAAAAGGTCAATCTTTACCTTAACCGAGCCTGTCTATTGTCTTACTGCATCTACGATAACATATCTTTGGATGTCAAAGTAATTGTCCCTTTTCCGGACCCCTCAAAGCACAGGCACCCTCTGCAGAGACCACACGTCCCCTCAGTGTCACTGAGTTAATTGTTGACTGTTAACTATCCCGCACCACCTGTGTAAAAGAAGTCTGTCATTTTACTCTTTTTCCCTGTCCCAGAGGTTTCCCCCCTTGGCTTTCTCCCGCCTCCCTAATCTATCACCAGTGGATTTCATGTAACACACATAAGTCTCCTCTTTTGATTATACTGTAAAATAAGGTGCAAAACCACCATTCTCCGGATCATTATCTCAGTCCCTTGAGATTCTGCTTCCCGGCAATTGTTGACAGTTTGGGCTCAAATAAACTCACAAAAATTCCTCACAGGTTTGAGTGTTTCTTTTCTTTTTTTAAAAAAAATATGTTTTATTAATTTTTTTACAGAGAGGAAGGGAGAGGGATAGAGAGTCAGAAACATCGATCAGCTGCCTCTTGCGCATCCCCCACTAGGGATGTGCCCGCAACCAAGGTACATGCCCCTGACCAGAATCTAACCCAGGACCCCACAGTCTGCAGGCCAACGTTCTATTCACTGAGCCAAACCGGTTAGGGCAAGTGTTTCTGACATTAAATCAATTTTATTAATTAACTTTGAGATAAACAGTTTAGATACAAAGGGTAATTATTTTAAATTTACGTTTGGATGAATTTTGACAAATTTATACACCTATGTAACTACCACCACAGTGAGGATATAAAACATTTTCATCATACCCTGGCTGATATGCTCAGTGGTTAAGAGTGTCAGCCCTTGGACCAAAGGGTCGTGGGTTCGGTTCCTGGTCAAGGGCACATATCTGGGTTGCAGTTTCAATCCCTAGGTCCTGGTCATGGTGCATGCAGCAGGTAACCAATTGAACAACAACACATTTTCATCACTCCAAAAAGGTCCAAGCGCTCTATCCCAATCAACCTCTCACTTTCCCCTTCCTCTCTTACTCTCACCACCTCCTTCTCTAGTCCCAGGGAACCACTGATCTACTTTCTATCTCTTGATTACTATTGTCCTTTCAGGGTTTAAATAAATGAAATCACATCTATCATGACTTAATTCTTTAGTCCTATTGTGTGCACTGCAGTTAGAAACAAGATAGAGTTTAGGGAGATTGTTTACTTCCCTGGCAGAACCACTTAGCCTGGTTGAAAACCTGATTTTTCTATACTATTCCCAGTGTCTCTCTGGAGCTGACTCAGTCAACCAATTCAGAAGAGACTGATGTAGAGATCAGAGTGCCATTTCGTCAGTGGGTAATGAGAAAATAGCTATCAAGTTTACTTGTGTTGCTGATTATATATACTCCTTATTGGCTAATCTATATATATGTAAATCCAAATTAAAACTACATATTTGCTTGGTGAGTATTTCATTAGAGCAATGGTAGTGAGTTGGAGAACTGTGTGACCTGGTACATGATGCTGTGATAACAGTCATCCTATCCTTTATGGCTCTTCTATACTATATACCATTTTGGTTATGAGTGATAAGCTTAATTTTTGTTAAGATTTTTTTCTTTCAACATTTTAGTATAAAAATGTTCAAACTCACAGTAAAGTTAAAAGAACTTTACAATAAACACGTGTGTACTCACTACCTAGAGTCTACCATTAACATTGTACCATACTTGTCTTATTCATCTTTCTACCCATTCATCCATCAGTCTTATTTTTTGATGCATTCCAAAGTAAATTTTTGCCATCAGTACACTTCTTCCTAAATACTTAGATATGCACTTGAATATATTTCTATTTCTTTCACAAAATATTGAGACATCTTGCAAGTGATCTCATCCATTATGTGTGAATTAATAGAGAGTGGTGCCTTGCTTTGCTGTTAAAATGTGCAGTTTAGTTCTCTCACATATAATCTTACTCACTTTTTAGGATTTATGAAGGCCTAGAGAAAAATAGAGAAAAAAGATTTATCTGCATTTTGTTTATATACCTGTGCCTCCCCCGTATCTCCAAGGAAAATTTCCCTTAAATTTTTTAATCAAGTCTTTATTCATGGTTCTCAAATATCACTTCAATTTACCTAATTGTGTCCTTATTTCAACTGTTAAAGTATATGAGAATGGTAAATTTGGACCTGGACTAGCTATTTGATGATATTACAGACTTATTTATTTTTTAATGTTTGAATGACATAGTAGAGACAATATCATTGTTATAAAATGATAAAGAGAAAAGAGTCTCTAGAGACAGATGCTAAAGTGTTTATGGATTTGGGGAATAATACGGTATCTGGGATTTGCTTCAAAATAATCCAGGGGGTGGTGGAAAGTGGTTGAGATACATGTGAAACAAGATTGACTATGAGTTGAGAGTTGTTGAAGTTAGATTATGGCTATGGGGGTTTATTATAATGTTCTCACTGCTTTTGTATATATTTGAAAATTCCCATAATAAGTTAAAATGATGCAATAAAGTGTGGCATGTTATTAGACATTCAAATTCAAGACTAGAAAAAACTTAAGGTCTTTATAGAGAAAACCATAGCCATTTAAAATTTTTCCTTATATTTAATCTGTAAAGAATTATTTTTGGCATTAGTATAATTCATTTTTATTTCTTGCTCTGGATTAAAATGAAAACTCCTAAATCTTTGCTAGGGCTTTCTTACTTGGCGCAACTTAATGGAGATTTTGATAAGAAAAATAAATGTTTGGCTTCAGGTATGGGTAATTTACTTACTAAATAATAAACCCTGAAGTTTTAAATATGTAGGAAACTAGAGTAACATGTTTGGCTTGCAGCACGTGTTATAAATTAAAGAACTATTTATTTTCTAAAGTACATGTGCAGACTTAAAAATCAGTATTAAATAAGCCTGTGACAAAGTGATATTATAACTCATGAGTATTTCTAAGGTACAGGTATTGCTTTTTTATTATTGAAAGATAAGATTGCCAGTGAAATGACAAAAAGCATTTTAAAAACATGAAATAGAATTATGATATTGTTGTCATGATTGTACCATGTAACCCTAGTTAAAAATGACACTGTATAAACATTTTCTATTTTCTCATGCTGCTTTCTTACAAGTACAGTGGTAGGTCTCAAAGTTAATCATCTGGCATAGTGCAATGACAGTCTCTACTCTTGTTTTCTTCCCAACATTGTTAATAGGAGCACATCTCACAGTCTTCTATAACCTCCGGAGTGAAGTTCCCTGTGCACAGGATTCTGACGTGGAGGGACCATGGAGCAGTATACAGCGAACAGCAATAGTTCAACAGAGCAGATTGTTGTGCAGGCTGGACCGATTCAGCAGCAGGTATGGAAGTAAAACTGCTTTAAATGTCACAGCAATGGAGCTGATAACAGCACTACTCAATTGGGGAATTATTTCAGAGATCCCAGATCTTATAAAGAATGGGTCTAATGACTTGTGCTAACGAAGTGCTTTTGAAGATTAAACTTGTGATTTCTCTGCTGTTTTCCGTGTTCAGAACTCTGTGTCCAGCCTGTGACCACTGAGAATTTGCTCCTCCTGGGAGCCTGGTTTAATGTTTTTATTGATTTTAGAGAGAGGAATGGAGAGGGTTAGAGACATAGAAACATCAGTGAGAGAGACACATCCATTGGTTGCCTCCCACAGGTTCCCCACCGAGGACAGAGTCCGGGAATCAAACTGGTTACTTCCTGGTTCATGGGTTGAAGCTCAAACAGAGTCACACTGGCCTGGCCTGGCTTAAATTGCCCCTTGTTATCTTATTAAAAGTCAAAACACCTAGTCTGTTTTCAGATGGAAATTTGGAGTTTTTGTTTTCTCTGGATTCAATTTGGTTGTTTTTCTACTTGATTAAGCTAGTGTGTGATCTACTAAGGTATTGGCCACAATACACAAATCAAGATAGTCAGCGTCTAAGAAGTCTACTGCTCTTTGACTTGATCCACGCCAGTGCTTATTCTGAAAAGTTCTAGTTTACCATGAGGATAATAGACAGCCATTCTTCTGGACAAACACATATTAGAAAGCAATCCCCTAATTAAATGGGTTACTTTCGTGAATTTATACACAGCTTACATTTTCTGATGCTTTATAGGTGGCTTTATTTTAGTGAAACTTCTCTTGTTTTTCTCCTCAGGAGAAATTACCATGTATCAATTTAACCATAGGCCAAGATTAGGAGTATTTTGTTTCTAAAATGGATCTTAGATAATATAGAAAAGTAGTTTGTAGGGAGGGCAAAGGAAAATTTGATGGTGAGTTCTATCTAATGATCAAGGGAAAGAGCTACTCTTCGTTAATAGAGAAGTTATTTAAACTCCTTTACTCGTCTTTCCTTCCATATAGCTGCTGTGGCTCTGGCAGTTTCCTTCACCTGCCTTTTTTGTAAAGGGGATTCCATGAAGGGCCCTTCGTTCACACCCATGCCCTGGTGGGTGAATTTTTGTTCTGTCAGAACTTGCCATCGCAGAACGTAATAATTAGGTTGAAATTGCTCCTAAGGTAGTCCAATTGAGTAGAAGTAATCCTAGTTTGGGGACATGGGAACAGTAACCTCATGAAAATTATTTTGATTCACAGTGATTCCTTTTTTCTTCCTTTCTGATGATTGCATTTAAGCCCCAGACATTTTTCATTGTAGCTTCAAGGTTGTTAAGACCTTTGTTCTTGTGAACTTGTTTGAGGAAATAAAAAAAAAAAAAAACACACATTAAAATAACATTGTAGGCAAAAGAATCAAATACCTATTTCTGGAGGGAAGGACTGCATTAACAAATTTTGTTTTAACGATAACAACTGTTAGGACATTTTTGAGTCAGGGGAGTGTGTTTTGAGTTCCACTCTGGGGACAAAGGGCTAATATCTTCAGTCCTGCTACCTTCAACCAAACAGCTTCAGGATAGGGAGTCTGTACAGTTTGAAAGTTCTGTTTAGGGTGGGGCTGTTGAAAGACATCTCTCTCTCCCCTATAAGAGGTAAGGTGATCTCATGCCTTGAACCATACATTTTATTCCTGACACGTTTCAAGCTCTTCCTGTTCCTGTTCTCAGCAGCAGGGTGGTGTCACTGCTGTCCAGTTGCAGACTGAGGCCCAGGTGGCATCCGCCTCAGGCCAGCAAGTCCAGACCCTCCAGGTAGTGGTGCCCTCTCTGACTCTCTGTAAGCACTGCATGAACTTCTCCTTCCCTCATGTCTGGTGCTGTTTGTGGTAGGATCTCAAGGAGGAATGGCAAAGTCAGTTGCATGTTTTTGATGCTAACTTGTCTTTGAGACTTATACCATGCCCGGTTTTCTAATGTTTCATGCCAAGTCATGTAGTGATTCCAGTGTGAATTTTCTGAAAATAGCATTTGGCTAGTACGTTTCTTTGGGAATGCCTTGGAAAGAATTGTCATAAGGGATAGGAAGAAATTCTTACAAGTGACATCAAAACCTATTTAGAGTTCAAACTCTGTCAGATTGCAAGATAAAATTTCATGAACTTTACTATAATAGTAGAGGAGAAAATATGTGCACATTAGCTAGGATAGATTGTTTTTATTAAAAGGGTAAATCAGGTGCAAAATAATCATTGTACTTGGCAAGTTTTATCTAATCACTAAATCTTGTTAATCTCTTAACTGCTGCCTCTACTATTTTCTGGGAAAATAATGACCTGTGGTTTTTTTTATCAGATCTGCAAAGATTATCCCATACCTCTAGATTGGACATACCTGGGATAGATATACTTTCTATAGGTCTTAGGTGTTATAGCCACGATAAGAATTCTTACTTAACCAATGCAGTTCCCTAACATGTTGGCTAAGTTAAATATCCGAACTTGGCGTCATATTTTGGCCAGCTCCAATATAAGATCAGGAGCAGGAGCGTTAGTCTTTTCTGTGTCTGTAGGTTACTTTGACTAAAATGACTGTATTTTTGAGAAACTGGTAAGACTTTGGTGCCCTATCTTTTTTCGTCCACTAAATGGAAATAGTTCAAAATAGGACCTAGAATGTAGAACCGCTAAACATCCTGCAGTTAGCTACCCCTTATTGTAATCATTTTACTTTACCGATTCAGCCCCACCCCCACATCTGTCACCCACAGTGTTTGATGATGCCAATTCTGAACATAAATTAGCCTGAAAGAATAAGAACTTGTAGGTTCTCCCAAACTATAAATCTCAGAGTTCAGCAGCTTGTATTTATGTTTTCATGCTTACTTCATCTTACTGATGTATGAAATAATATTGTCATTAACCACTTGTGGAATGGGAATGTAACATGCTCTTAACTGTATGGCTTTTTGTCTGATGCATGTATCCTTGCAATCATTCGTATGTTGTAAATACAAGTGGGCTTCTTGGAGTCTCAAATGGTTTATTATGTGCACTCACAGCATGTCAACAAGGGGAGAAGTTAAGATGACAGATCTAGAAAATTAATAGTTACGCTTTAAAACTTGTATTCCCTACATATGTAGATTTTATTTAAAAGAAGTGGAGACAGTTTATGGAAATAATAGAAACTATTCCTTAAAGGTCTCATTATTTTGGAAAACTTTAAATAGTTCTTTTAGTTATTCATGCAATAAATATTCTGAAAAAAGTCTTTTCCTGCTAGAACATATGCAGACGTTGGTGTAATGGATTTGATTTGGGGTGGGGAAGTAAGGGAAGGAGAAAGCAGGGGAATCAGATTGTAAACTTCTTAATATTAAACTGGAATTTCTCAATGAGCAGTTTCACAAAACTAGGATTTCGAATATTTCTAAAGATTCTGGAACTCTTGGGATGGGGTGTTTAATATCGAATTTACTCCTCCAGGTCTGATTGATAATTTCATTTGAACATTTTTTCACTGGCATTAAGAATGACTATTTTAGTCATACAAATATTCTTTTATAATATTATAAGTAATTCCTCAAAGATAGAATCTAAAAATGAGTTTTTGACTTTTAGCTATTCTGTTGAACATTTACTCCATTTCACTTTTTAAGTGGCTTATATTTTGGCTTCTAGAAAGCATTCTATTAGCTAGCTATTTTTTATTGGGACTCAAAATGGTACAACAGAGCATTTATAATGGCCTGCCTTCTAGAGTTTTCTGTTTATTCATGGGAGCTTCAAAGTTGGAATTTGTTTTATATGCTTGAGTGCTTTGTACAATTTCCATATTTGTCATTGCTTCTGTTAAAATTAAAATAACTGCAGGTATTGCAGGGCCCAGAGCGAGGAATTCCATCACAGATACTACAAACTGATCAGAAAATATTTCTAGGCAGTTTTTAGTCATGGGATCTTTTCAACGACAACCAGACTAGAATTCCCAGAAGTATAAGGTGAAGAGGATAAAATATGTACATCTTATTTATGCTTGAGAAAGGGTGTTCTACGTAAAGTTACAGAGTGGCTTGCTACCCAGCCTCCTGTATTGCTGGGTAGTTTGATTTACTCCCTCCAGGTTATTTAGAATTTGCATTTAAACATCATCACCGCCATTACCTACCCTTCTCATTGCCTCCTCTTCAGCCCTCACTAGAGATCATTCTCGGATATTAGTCTAAAAAGGCAAATAGTCTTGACATTTTGTTTAAATGCTTCTTATGGAGTTAGCCTGTATTTGGTGATAAATACCTTATATCTATGAGACTTCCCAAAGCCTGGATATACTCCATTATATCTGACTTTAAAGTATTCAACTTGGCCTTTAGTCAAAAATACCAAAGATAATTGAAGAAGATAGGACTTGAGACTTATTATCGTGGGGTCTCTCCTGCCTTTCCCCCCTCTAGCAAGGCAGCAAAATAGTTCCAGTAATTGTCTTTTAGTAACAACCATTTTGTGTCTTATGTTATTTCATTGTACTTACTTTATTTCATTCTAGGTCCAGGGGCAGCCATTAATGGTGCAGGTCAGTGGAGGCCAGTTAATCACATCAACTGGCCAACCCATCATGGTCCAGGCTGTCCCTGGTGGACAAGGTCAAACCATCATGCAAGTACCTGTATCTGGGTCCCAGGGTTTGCAGCAGGTGAGTGGTATGAAAAAGTGTTTAGACAGAATGTCAGAGTAGAGGTTTTTATAGAATAGTTATTACAAGCTATTTGACAGTTGATATTGTTGCATTTAATTGCTTCCTACCCTCCATTTGCATTTAGTCGATAGTCCACCTTTGTAGTACCAGTGATAAAGCAGACCTAGACAGAAATTGTACATCTCTGGTAAGGACTAATTAGGCATGATTTTTGGATCAATGTAAAGAACACGAAGAGATGGGAATCTAGTTTTATAAAAGTAATTCATGAGTGAGCTTTGTTGGCATTTTATGTCAGTAAGGGAGGAAATTTATAATCTGCTTTGGGGGTTCTTGTTTTTGCTCAGAAATGCTTTCCTTTTCATTTCTTTCCATGTAATTAATAATTTGAATCATCTAGCAAGTAATGAAAAAAAGCTATTTCGGTCCATACACATCACAAACACCTTACACTGTGTTTGGAGCAAAACTTAATGGCCTTTTTTTTAAATTGAAAATAAATTAATAATATTTCTCATAGGAACTTAGGAAAAGAACAAAATGAGCAAAAAGTAGGTTAAAATTAGTGAAGAATAAAACTAACAAAAATGTAGAAAGGGTAAATAAAAGCTGATTCTTAAAGAGATCAATAAAATAGATAAATCCACTGGAAAGACTGATTCCAAAACAGAAAAAAAGGTAAAAAAAAGACAAAAAATGTAGAAGAGATTAACAGAAGTAGGTAGGATGTTGTTACATGCAACTCTGGATATTACATGCAAATATTAAAAGTAGAGGGATTTTTATCAATTTGGCAAAAATTAAAAAGAATTATTATATCCAGTTCTACAATGGGTGTGGAGGAAAGGATACACTCATTACTTAGGTAATTTCAAATTCTGAAGTCATTTTGGAAGGCATCTTACTCTTAAATACATAAACCTATCCCACTTTTGAGAATCCTATAGGATGAAAAGCATTGATATATAGGGAGAAATGTACAAATACATTTATTGCAGCATTGTGCTACCAAAAGAGCTGTAGTGTAACCTGAATGCCTATTTATAAGAATAAGGAAGTGGTTGAATAAGTCATACGATATTCATATGTGGAATATTATGTTGTTAAAAAGGATAAACTGTTGACATAGGATGGTGGTTAATACTGACGTACTTCTGGTGAAAAATAATTTGGAAGGAAACATACCATGTGATATTATCTTTGTAATTAGTAGCCAAACCCCTATGTAATATATGTGTTTGTTAGCATGGAAATGGGAATGAGAAAGAACTATTAATTTTTTACTATATAGATTTTGTTTTAATAGTTAAAGTGATCTCATTGGTGTCTTAGTTTCTCTGCAGGAATTTAATACAAGTTGAAAAAAGCCCTGATCACACTGCTTGATAAATCTGACCTCTAATTTCTTCACATTACTTTGTTTTTTTGTTTTGTTTTGTTTTTTCAAATCTTCACCTGAGGTTATTTTGTCCATTGATTTTTAGAGAGAGAGGACGGTAGGGAGGAAGGGAATATGAGAGAGAGGGACAGAGAAAGAGAGAGAGAGAGAGAGAGAGAGAAACATTGATGTGAGAGAGAGACATCAATCAGCCAACCTCTGCCCTGCCTACTTTATTTTATTTTATTTTATTTTTGCTTTTATAGGTAAGATTACTATAAATTTATTTGAGCATGATAGTTTTATTTTCAGTTGAATTCTTAGGGTAGTTTCTTTGGAGTAGGGAAATTGCTTGGCGAAGGAATAGTAACATTTTTAAAACTATTGGCATATTTTTGCCACAATAGAGTTGTAGTTAGGATTAAAATAGTTTCCACATTTCTTCATGAATAAATGTATGAGGCTTTAAATATATTTTCAGTATGTGTACTTTAACTCTTTTTCACACTATTTCATTTCTGTCCTTCTATTGCCTCTTCTTCATACCCTTGCCACAACTTCTTTTCCACTCCTGAATGGAGACTGTGTGATACAGTGTTAGGAGCAGTGTGCTGGGCATGCAGTGATCTGACTTTCCATTCCCAGGTCTGCCATTAAGCAAGCTTTCGTATGTCAGTTTTCTCATCAGAAAGTGCAGTTTATATCAGGTGATTTCTAGGGTTCATTCCAGTTCTAAATTCTATGCTTTTATGATATTTATTTATTTACCTATCTTTAAGAGTCTCTGATGGGGTTATTTCATTCTCCCTCCAAGCAGGACTGTATATAACTAATCAAACCAAGGGTTCTCAAACTTTTTAAACAGGGGGCCAGTTCACTGTCCCTCAGACCGTTGGAGGGCCGGACTATAGTTTAAAAAAAACTATGAACAAATTTCTATGCACACTGCACATATCTTATTTTGAAGTAAAAAAACAAAACGGGAACAAATACAATATTTGAATTTGCATGTGGCCCACGGGCCGTAGTTTGAGGACCCCTGAATCAAACCATCCTAGAAAAATTCTTTTCTGTTAACATAAAAACATATAATTCTTTTCTGTTAACATATAAAGCTCTAGGTAAAATCCCATAGCCTTTCTTAGGATGCATAAAATTTCAATTCTTTTTTAGAAGAATACTTCTTACTCTTTATTATCTTGGATCCTCTATTTTAGAATTCCAGTGAGATCCTATGCCCTCTTCTTAGAAAAGGTGTAGATGTCCAGATAAATGGAACATTTTGCATACAATTTTAGGTTAGGATCCCTGGTTTAATATAGACAGTGGAACTGGAGTAGAGAGTCAAGAATAGTGGAAGTTGGTATATAACAAAAATAGTACAAAATAGCAGTGAATAAATTTTTTAAGAATGAAATAGATATATAACGTGGATGGAACTAAAGGGTATCTGCATTTACCTACTCTCTCAAGAATTATTTTGAATATATAAAATGTCATTTCATCTGTAAAAAATGCTTTAAAAATAATGTGACCATGCCAGCACTATCATCTTTAAAAAACTGACATTGTTACTATAATACCCAGTATCAAGACAGTAGTCAGAATTCCCCATTGTTTCAGAAGTGGAAAACAAATGATCTCTCACAAATAATAGCCAAACAGTCCCTAACTGGTTTGACTCAGTGGGTAGAGCGTTGGCTCAAGGACTGAAGGGTCCCGGATTCAATTCTGGTCAAGGGCATATACCTCGGTTGCAGGCTTGATCCCTTGGCCTTGGTTGGGGCATGTGGGAGGCAACCAATCGATGATGTTTCTCTGTCTCTTCCCCTTCCTTCCACTCTCTAAAAGTCAGTGGAAAAATATCCTTCGGGTGAGGATTAACAGACAAACAAAAAAAGCAGATGAGGACTTCTGTTTTATTGTTTTTTCCTCTTCACAGCATTTTCCACTTTCTAGAGGAATGTGGATAACTAATACTCCAGGACAAAAGATACCAATGTCCGCAGGGTACTAACCTTTCTTTGTATTGTCTTCCACAGATACAGTTGGTCCCACCTGGACAGATCCAGATCCAGGGTGGGCAGGCTGTGCAGGTGCAGGGCCAGCAGGGCCAAACCCAGCAGATCATCATCCAGCAGCCCCAGACAGCCGTTACTGCTGGCCAGACCCAGGTAATTCCACTAGCTCTGAACACAGCACAGCTGATTTAGAAGGGTCAGATAGCTGAGCCATATATTTCACATGTGGTAGAAATGAGTTAGAAAACTATCATTTTTTTTTTTTTTTTTTTTTTAAGAAAAAGACTAGCCCTGGCCAGGTAACTCCATTGGTTAGAGCACTGTCCTATACACCAAAAGGTTGCAGGTTTGATTTCTGATCAGAGCACATGCCTGGGTTTCAGGTTCGATCCCCAGCCAGGATGCATACAGGAGGCAACCAACCAATTAATGTTTCTTTCACATCCGTGTTTCTCTCTCCCTTCCTCTCTAAAATCAATCAAGACACATCCTGGGATGAGGATTTTTAAAAAGAGAAAAAGACTATATGGCCCTTTGTGGTATTTTAGAATCTCTTATATTGTGTTATAATTTCTTTCCTACAGACACAGCAGCAAATTGCTGTCCAGGGGCAGCAAGTGGCACAGACTGCTGAAGGGCAAACCATCGTTTATCAGCCAGTTAATGCAGACGGTACCATTCTCCAGCAAGGTAAGTATGCCCATTCATTTCCGTCTACTTTTGGGGGACTCATCTTCATCCCTTGAGCAAATGATGCTTCAGAAATTTTGTGGTGATCTCTACATGACATATTTTTGAACGAAAAATAAGATTTTCTGTAAGTCTTCATTGATTATTATTATTAAGTCCTTGTCACCAATACATGACCAACATCAATTCCATTTGTAGGAATCCCTAAGTGGTTGTTAAAAGATTGAGCCTAATGAGGATGTAAAGTACAGCATAGGGAATATAGTCAGTGATATCCTAATAACTGTACGGTGTCAGATGGGATCGAGGTTTATGGGGATGTCTAATTAATCGGGGGTACACCTGAAACTAATATAATAATGTATGTCAACTGTAGTTGAAAAATAATTTTTAAAAAAGGACTGCTCATAAGGATTATATAAGCTTTAATCTTATATTAACACTTTCTAAATAGAAGATTGGAAATAGGAGTTGTTGCTTAGGTATATTTTTACCAGGGCCACTTCTTTGTAAATTTATTCCAAAACCACTTATTATGTGCCGGTTACGTATGTAGAACTTTGCTAAGAAAGAAGAGCTTTTCAAAGAAACTCTAGTCTAACAAGAGAGACATACATGTGAACAAATAAACATAGTGCAGAATCCTATGGAGGTATGTTCTAGGAATAAATAATGCATACAGAAGGTAGAGAAGAAATACGGCTCGAGAGGAGAATGTATTTCAGAGAGGAGGAGATGGCTCGATCTGAACTTAAGAGCTTTTGTAAGCATTTGTCTGATAGTTAAATCCGAAAAGGACATCTCAGTTAGATTCCCTGACTAAAGGTTTGACTTGTGATTAAGACTTAGCAGTATGTAAGATCCAGTGGATGCAGTAACAGTGTGCTTTTGTTATGACTCAGGAGAGGGCCTGAACTGGAATGAGTACTGGCAGGAACTCAGGAAATGGTAAACACATTCTCCTCGGTGCTGATGTTGATAGTTTGGGGACTTGGAATGCTTGGTTTAAGCTTTAGACCTGCAACTGGCTGATTCCTTGTCAGTTTAGGATGAACAATTTATAAGTTTATAAAATTTCCATCCTGAAGCAGATTGTTGATATGTACAAAAATTGGGTATAGCTATACTCAGACTGACCCATAGAAGTGGAAGACTGCAAACTGTCTCACCACCTATTGAAAACTGTTATTGTAATGCCCAGGAAAGTATCCATTTCAAGGATAGATTTATTCAGAGCTATAACCGAGAAAGTTAATAGAGTTTCAAAGATTGTGATTACATGGGTTTTATGTAGTAAATTAGGCAGAGTGTGTGAGTGCTTTTCCCCCCCTTATTCAGTTTATAATGCTTTTCCAGGGTGAATGAGTGTGTGCCAGATAGAAGAGGAACTAACTGTGTTCCCTTCTTTCTGTGTACCTGTTTGTTGTTTTATGTTTTATTTTCTTAAAGTTACAGTCCCTGTTTCAGGCATGATCACCATCCCAGCAGCCAGTTTGGCAGGAGCACAGATTGTTCAGACAGGAGCCAACACCAATACAACCAGCAGTGGACAAGGGACTGTCACTGTGACACTACCAGTGGCAGGCAATGTGGTCAATTCAGGAGGGATGGTCATGGTAAGGATATTGATTCTTCAGCTCACTGTTCTCATCTGTAATTTCTTTTTCTACATATCTCTCTGTCTTTGCAAAATTGCAATTTGATGTCTCTCATAAAGCTTGTTAATAATGTTGACCTCTTGGCATTGAGATTGATCCTTAAGGCACTTACAGAGATCTACTTTTATAATAAACACTAGAGGCCCGGTGCACGGGGGTGGAGGGTCCCTCAGCCCGGCCTGCACCCTCTCCAATCTGTGACCAGTCAGACATTCCTCTCACAATCTGGGACTGCTGACTCCTAACCGCTCACCTGCCTGCCGGCCTGATCATCCCCTAATTGCTCCCTTGCTGGCCTGATCGCCCCCTAAGTGCCCTCCCCTGCTGGCCTGATATGATAGTCCCTAACCGCCTCTGCCTTAACCCCCGCCACTGTGGCTTTGTCCAGAAGGACGTCCTGAAGATGTTTGGTCTAATTAGCATATTACCCTTTTATTAGTATAGATTACAGTGAACCATAATTCATTGTGAGGACCTATTAGTGCCAGGTACTATTCTTGGTGCTGGAGATATAGTAGTGATTAAACAGATTAAATGTATGATTTTATGTGATCTTATTCAGAATTCAAATAATGAAGGGAGAGTTAGGCTGCTGATCTTTGGCAATTGGAAAATACATTGTGTCTAGTGGATGAAACAAGAAATAAGCTAAAAATTAGGTTATAATTAGAGAAACCAAAAAAATGTGTGATATAAATACAGTGAGAAGATAGGGAAGGAAAGTTGGATGGTATCTGAAAGCTAAATCCTCATATGTCAAAATATGATGTCAGTACATAGTACCTAAAATGGATAAATGAAGAATTGAGGAGCAGAAGCCTGCACAGAGAGGAAGAAAGCTACCAGAAGAAACAATACAGACATTCAAAGTTAACGTTGGGAAGGGAGTGTAGCAAAGGGGACTTGTTTCATCATATATTTAGTACAGTGTTTCATTTTGTTTGTTTAGAAAAATTAGGATTAAATTATATAATAAGTTAACTAAATTAGTTGTATAACTATAGGCATTAAGTAGCACTTGGTAAATTCATACCTATTTTCCATTGAACTGTTTTACAGTATTGTCATACTAGAGGCCCGGTGCACAAAATTACTGCACAGGTAGGGTCCCTAGGCCCAGCGATCAGGGCTGATTGGGGCCTTGCGGCTGCCAGTCAGAGCTCCCTTCCCCGGCTGCTGGCTGCCACCTGGGGCCTCCCTTCATTCCATGCTGCCGCCTGGTGGTCAGTGCACATCATAGCGAGCGATAGAACTCCCAAACTCCTTTGAAGACACTTCGCATATTAGCCTCATATATATATGATTACTGTCTGGATGGCAGCAGACATTCCTAGAGAATGGAGCCATGCATGGACAAGAATTTGGACCAGGTTATGTTATTTCTAAGTGTGGCTCCTGGGCCCCCAACTGATAGATTTGTAATGTTGGTTTAAAATGCATTTAGTGTACGTGTTCTCCAGAAAATGCATTTAACTGAATGCCCTGTAAAAGCTACTCTTGTGTAGCATTCAGAAGAAAATAGATTAACACAGATTAAGAAACTTGCCTATGTCTATACTTTTTGTCACTATTTAATAAACTGGTTTTCTCTCAACACAGATGGTGCCTGGTGCTGGGTCTGTGCCTGCTATCCAAAGAATCCCTCTACCTGGGGCAGAGATGCTCGAAGAAGAGCCTCTCTATGTGAATGCCAAACAGTATCACCGCATACTTAAGAGGAGGCAAGCCCGAGCCAAACTAGAGGCAGAAGGGAAAATTCCAAAGGAAAGAAGGGTATGTATAACATAGGGAAGGATGTAGGAAGAGAATACCAGGGTTCTACTTTAGGAATAAGTCAAACCTTTTATATGGTTTGTTTTGAGTACCTTCCAAACAACTGAAGGTAGGTATATAGCTGGTTTGTTTTTGTTTTTTAATATATTTTTTTTTATTTCAGAGAGGAAAGAAGAGGGAAGGAGAGAGAGAAACATCAATGATGAGAGAGAATCATTGATCGGCTGCCTCCTGCATGCCCCACACTGGGGATCAAGACTGCAATTCAGGCATGTGCCCTGACCGGGAATGGAACCATGACCTGGTTCGTAGGTTGATGCTCAACCACCGAGCCACACTAACTGGGCTGATAGCTGGTAATTTTTTATAAAAGTTATCATTTGCTATATGTAGGTGCAGCTACAGAAACAAAAAAATAATACTGGCTTAAATTTAAAATTATTTTTAAAAAATTTTTCTTACATAAAAGAAGCCCAGAGATAAATTGTCCTGGGCTGGTAGCACATTTCCACAGTTCTCAAGACTCATTCTCCTCCTGTCTTATTCTAATTTCTTAGTTTGCTATTTTTAGTCCAAGATGGCTGCTTGGGCTCCAGCCTAGGAGCAAATGGAACAAAAGAGGCAGCTCTCTTTTAAGGAAACTTTTAGGAAGTTTTATATTTCATTAGCAAAACTTTATTTTTTTTTTATTGACTTCATAGAGGAAGGGAGGTGGAGAGAGAGAGAAACATCGATGAGAGAGAATCATTGATCAGCTGCCTCCTGCACACCCCACACTGGGGATTGAACCCGCAAAATGGGCATGTGCCCTGGCCAGGAATTGAACTGTGACCTCCTGGTTCATATAGGTCGACACTGAGCCACACCGGCCAGGCTCCTTAGCAAAAGTTTAATTACATGGCCAGTTACCTGCAAATAAAGCAAGGAAATGCAATGTTTTTACTAAGTAGCCATTTGCCCAACAAAAATTTGGTCTGTTATTAAAGCAAAAGAGAGGATATATATATATATATATTAAGAGATAGGTAGTTATCTATGGGATACCTTTGGGGAGGGGAATCTTTTTTATTATATTCATTTAGCATTTACTTCTTATGGTAGTTATATATGGCTAGCTATCTAGTGTTTTCTCCAAAGCTTTCTCCATAATTCAAAGTCATAAGTGCCTCTGGTGGCTTTGTTTTCTGGCTTTAGAAATATCTGCATGAATCTCGGCACCGTCATGCCATGGCACGGAAGCGTGGTGAAGGTGGGCGATTTTTCTCTCCAAAAGAAAAGGATAGTCCTCATATGCAGGTAAGAAGACTTCTTACTTTGTATTTTCTCAGGTGGAATCTTCTGCATTGTCTAAGCTTTTTCCCCCAACTGAATATTTACAGCAACCTAAAGCTCTAGGAGGTAAGCATTTTACAGTTGAATCAAAGGTTTAGACAGGTTAAATAGTTTGCCTAAGGTGTAATATATATATAGTTAAGTGTCTGTCCGACCAGTAGGTATGACGCGCACTGACCACTAGGGGGCAGATGCCCAGCACAGGAGCTGCCATGGCACGCACTGGCTATTTAAAAATAAACAGCACCATGGATCTGGTACCTACAAACCAACACTCAGCTTCCCCCAAGTGTAACACAGGCCCTAGCACCACCCTGGAGCAACAGCCCACCAAATCGCAGCCAACGCTGCCAAGATCCCATGGTGCAAAATGCGGCCCACAGCCCAGCCTGGAAACGGTTGTTGTGGGTGCCGGGTAATGATGTCACATAGCAATGCCCAGCTTCCTCTCCCTAGTGACTAGCCTCCTTAGAGTTTCTTCACCCCAGGAACACAACTTGCTTTATAGCCAGGTGCAAACATTTTACAGTTCAACCAAATGTTTGTGAATTGTTTTCCCATGCTTCATCTCATTTGATCCTCAGAAGTCCTGGAGTAGGTAGATAGGAGACTTGATAGAATCCTTTTTTCTTTTCATTAGCAAGACACAAATAACGATATTAAAATATTTCTTCTAATTAATTTCCTTTCAATGTGCACAAATCCATGCACCGTGACACTAATACTTAATAAAATGGTACAACTGAATTTCAAACCCAAGCAGTACAATTCCATAACATACTCTGTAACTACTATATTGTACTGGTTCTTAAATCTAATTCTACTCATTTTATTGTATTGACATTTCTGAGTCAATATATCTAAAGTAGAACTCTTGATTTTTTTTTTAATGCCTCAACCACTCATCTCAACATGTCCATCCATCCAGTTACTAGAATTATCCAACTCTTGATTTTACATCTAAAATATAATCTGAGCCAGCTTACTTTTTTCCCTCCCAAATGCCAGCCTAGTCTAATCCCCTCTCTTTTGGTTCAGTTAATATAACAGCTGCCAACTGGTCTCCCTTGTTCCATTCTTGTGCTGCTCTGGTCCATTAGCCGCATTTTAGTGTGATATTTTTAAATGTGTATCACATCACATCACCATCTTGCTTAAATTCCTTCTACCCTGCCCTTTCTCATTTACACTTCAGACTAAAATCTAAAGTACTTACCTTGGCCAAAAAGGTCCTGAATGATCTAGCTCCTCCTGCCTACCTCTGGCTTCATTTCCTCCTACTCCTTGGTTTTTATGCTCTTGCTATAGCATTGTTCTGTCTTCTGCCATTAGGACCTTTGTCCTCAGTATAGCCAATTGGTAAAGCTTTTCACTCAAGGAACTCTCCTAATTCTGTGTGCTAACAATATGACCTCAGTCAGTTTACTTAGCCTCTTTTAGCCTCAGTTTTCTTCACCTGTAAAATGGGGTGCTATTGATACTTCACAAGAATGTTGTGAGAATGTCATGCAGTAAGTCACATTAGGCACCTACTTAGCCTAGTGCATGGTGAGAGCTCAGTAAATGCTATTAGTATTCTCATTCATTGATCAAGACCAAGCGCCCGGCCTACCACCTTCAGAAATCATTCAGCTCATCCTTGGATCATGTTAATTGAGACTTCACTGCCTTGGTGTGAAAGAACTGAAGGTGGTTACTATGAGTATTGTAGAAAGCTTCCACAGACAAATCCTTGTCTTAACACTGCATGTTGTGAGAGGCAGCAGGCAGAGTTTAGTGGAAAGAATATTAAATGGGTACCAGAGACCTGGGAGTTAGTTCTTGCTGGGCTCCTGAGTAACTTACTGATTCTAGTCCAAGCAAATCACTTATACCCATCTGGGCATCAGGTTTATCTGTAACTTCTAGGTACACTGTAACCTTTTAACAAAGTGCATCAAAGTAAATAAATCCCAATGTCACTTAGCTCTGCTAAGTGCTCAGCATTTAAATATAATGGTCAGAAAATAATGACCAAAAATTTTCTATATATATATATATATATATATATATATATTTGTATATTTTATACACAAACACACACACACACAGCATGTCTGACTGGCATGGCTCAGTGGTTGAGCCTCGACCTATGAACCAGGAGGTCACGGTTTGATTCCCAGTCAGGGCACATCCCCGGGCTGTGGGTTCGATCCCCATTGTGGGGCATGCAGGAGGCAGGCAATCTACTTCATCATTGATGTTTCTATCTCTCTCCTTCTCTCTCTGAAATCAGTCCTATATAATAAAATGGTAATATGCAAATAGACCGAACAGCAGAACAACTGAACAACCAATCAAAACGTAATATGCGCCCTAACCAGTTTGGCTCAGTGAGTTGAGTATCGGCCTGCAGACTGAAGGGTTCTAGGTTCGATTCCGGTCAAGGGCATGTACCTTGGTTGAGGACACATCCCCAGTAGGGGCTGTGCAGGAGGCATCTGATGGATGTTTCTCTCTCATAGATGTTTCTAACTCTCTATCCCTCTCCCTTCCTCTCTGTAAAAAGAAATCAATAAGATATATTTTTTTATAAAAAAGTAATATGCTAATGATATGCTAAGGATCCCCAACTGCTCGCTATGATGCGCACTGACCACCAGGGGGCAAACAGTCAACTGGTCGACCAGTCACTATGACATACACTGACCACCAGGGGGCAGATGCTCCAACTGGTAGGTGAGCTTGCTGTTGATCAGGACTGAGCAAGATGGACCAGACACACCTGGAGCCCTCCCACGGTCCCTCCCCTGTCCGATCGTGCACCGGTGGGTTCCCTCAGTCTGGCCTATGCCCTCTCACAATCCCGCACCCCTTGAGGGATGTTGGAGAGCAGGTTTCAGCCCGATCCCACAGGCTACTCCCCTTGGGAGGGCGCCAGACGCAGGGCTCATGGCTGGTGAGCGCTGCTGTGGCAGCGCAAGCCTCTCCCGATCGGGACTGATTGGGCGCAAGCACACAGCAGGCACAGTGGGGCCAGGATGAGCGGGAGTGGCAGGTAGGAGTTGCAGGCGGTGTTGGACTGTGGGTTTTGGCCCGATCCCTGCAGGTCACCCAGAGGGACCCCACCCATGCACAAATTCGTGCACCGGGCCTCTAGTAAAAATATATTTTAATATAGATATAGTATGACATGGCTTTTCTTGGTCTTTCTCTTAGCCACCTCTAAGGACCCTTAAACAGTAAAGGTAGAGCACAACATAGGTGTGCTATCAACTCTGGAGTGTTCAGTAATGGAGTGGCAGGCCAGATCAGATTTTTAATCCTTTTAAGAATAAGGTTTATTGTCTCATTTCCAAATGGAGCTGCATTTTAATCCACTTATGCAGACTTGCAAGCAGACCTTTGGTTTTCTTGGCAAAGTTGTATCTATGTCGTTGGTGATAAAGTAGTGAGAGCCACAGTTCCTGTTGCTTTTGCAAAGTACTTTAATCATTATTATGCTTTCTTTGTCTCTAGGATCCAAACCAAGCAGATGAAGAAGCAATGACACAGATCATCCGAGTATCCTAACCCCAGGCCATGTGATGGAGATGATCAAGGTCATGTTCCTCACCACTGTTCCAGGAAATTGATCACTTCTTCCGATGGGACACTGATGATCACATTCTGCCCTTTTCTGCAGGACAGAAACCCACTTAGTTTTTCAAAGTGGCTTGGTATTATAATTGCAGCGGTGTCTGGCAAATTGAAGTTGCAAGGCTTTGTCTCACCCCTTCAGTCAGGACTATTTTAGACTGTTGATGACATTGACGTTTCATGGACTAGGATGATGCGAAGGACTCATGCCAGCCCAACAGTACCACACACAGCACTTAGATGTTGACTGGTGAAGCCAGCCAGCCATCTGAGCAGGGGAGAACAACCTTCTCAAGCTAAACTACAATCCGGGAAGCTGAAGCCCACTCCTTCCCATGGAATCTAAACACCATCTCAGGCTAAGTGAATGAACACTGTATTCAGAGATGACTTCCAGGCATGGAAGTTCAATCTCATGGAAATAATAAATTCTCTGAGATACATTCATCTAATCTGTGGTAATAATAAGAATGTCTACACAGATGATAGGTTGGTATTTTTGGACTCCAAGCCAAGAAAAAGCTAATTCTGGGGATAGAATGATAAAAGAATCAAGCACTAAAAATAATTGCTGAATCTTTTTTCATTTTGGCCAGTTGTGGTCTGCTTGTCCATCTGTTGACAGGTCATCTGGACCATAGTTCTTACTATGGCTACTTGTAAGACAATTTAGAAGGTATTGGACCTTGAAACTTCCTTTCCTAAGTAGAGAACAAAATAATACAACTATGCTGAAGTGCTGAGGACACTTGTAACTCCTAAACAGCGAGGCAAACTAGAGATTTTCAATCATAGGCTTAGTGACAGCATTTGGAAAATAGAAGGGTTTGTGTGTGTTTCAGTCTAGAAGAAGAGAGAGAGGTAATATACCCATGTGTTGTCATATAGCATGATTCTTCAGTTGATGGATGCCTGGGATGGATCATTAAGATGAAGAGACTAATTTACATTTACACTATAATCTTTTAACAACCGAAAGAGAGAAGTCTGAGATTTGGTCTTTGACACTTTCTGGAAAGCACTGTTCAATCAAGCTGTCCTGGACATTCTCCAGGTTACCTCCTAGAACTTAACGTGGATGTTGGCTTCACTCCTGCAAGTGCTTTGTGCTGGCCCCAGAAAACGGACATTCTCATGTTTCCCATGGCAGCTGACTCATTGGTGCCAGCTTCCATTTGCTTCCCCCTTTCTCCATATGCCTTTGCAGGAAGGTTTTCACTTTGCATCTACATTTTGGGGACAAATTACAGACTGGAACTAGAGATGGCTGTAGTGTAAGGAATTGGGCCACAGTTCCCAGAATGGGTTGTGTCTCATTTCTTTTCTAGATGTTGAACCCTTGTAGAAAGTGATACTTCAGAAGAGTTTCTGCCTACTCTGGAAACAAAGAAGGAAAACTTAATTCTTTTTGACTTAATAACCAAGAGTAAAGATTGGCTCTTTTTATATTTTACTCTAATTGTATTAAGAGATAAAAAGTATTTCACTCTCTAAAGAAAACATCATAAGCATTGTAATGGTCTAAATAGAGGTACAGAGCTATGCAAAGAAAGCAGGAAGTGAAATATATTTCTAATTCCTGAAATCGAATCATCTCCTGGCTTCCAGATGTCAGAAATGGAGGACTTATTCTTTGGTAGACTCACTAGAAACTTCTGGCTCATTACATGAGTTTTAGATGTTAATTTATCCAGTAATCCCCAAATTTGTCAAATGACAGGTTACTAAAAACAATGAGAAATTTATATCCCTTGGTTTGTTTAGGAATCTTTAAGATGCAGAGTTCAGAAAGAGATTCCTCAGACCTAATTTCTAGTACTTAAGCCAATAGTTCTAAAACGCTATTTATTTGTGTCTGTAAGTTTGTACATAGTAATTCCAGCCTCATTGTTGCGGAATTATTTTTTCATGCATTTGAGTTTTGCTTGAAATTAAATGCTTCAGTTGTCATTATTGTCATTGCATTTCAGCTAATTCATGGCCCTTTTATTGTGGTCATTTTTAGCATATCATAATAACCCACAAAGTGGGGGTGAGGTGGATTAAGGTTTGGATTTTTTTCTTTATTTGTTGCTAGAAGTTCTTTTATTCATTTTTCATTTTGACTGTAGTGATGACTTTTAGATATAGAGTGAATGGATGAGTGAATAATTGGTTTAATAGTTACTTTACTTCATGAATGCTTTTTTTTTGCAGGATAATTGTATATATTTTAATTGTATTGGTACATTGAACATGTCAGTGTCTATATCACTGGACCAACAACATTTTTGGCTATTGAGTGCCTGATAATAATGTCTTGATTTTCCTTTGGGACTCAGTTATATATATTTTCCCCTCAGCAGTAGGGGGAGTACAGGTGATCTGATCATTGATGTCATTGCAATTGTTATTTTTAAAAATAAATTTATGAGAAAGTGATTGAATTTTGAGAAGTCTACATCCCCTGGGTTCGAGGTTGTTTATAATGTTGAAATTGATCTCTGTAGACACAAGACATATGTAGTGTCCAGGCCACTTACCTAGCTCCTTCCTTTAATCTCTTTTCCTTCCTTTTGGCCTTCCCACTCTGCTGACAATTATTTTCTGTCATCTGTGGTCTGATCATATATTTGGTGTTACTGGAAGTGTTATAAAAATGCAAAGAAGAATACCTTGAGTAAAATTAGCCCACCAAAATGGCATTGATTTATTAGGTGTTGTAGAACTATAGTGAAAATAAAAATGTTTAATTTCTGCAGGAAAGACAAAAATACTTTTCTGATTGTTAAAAACCCACAGTGTACTCATAGTTGTACTGCTTTGTGTTCTCTCTGAATCTGAGCAACTGATTGGGAACTTAAGTATGTCATTATCATACAGAAGTGAGAAAAACAGCCATTGGGAGCGCTCCCATGAGACCCGATAGACCAATCCTGGCAGACCGCAGAAATAGAAGAATCTCTCCCCTAACGATTGAAACGGGCCAAGAGTAAAATAACCTTAGTGTAACTGTTCAGTTTAAAAACCATCCTGAGTTTGCTTTAGCCAGATGCCGTGATACGACGCAAAGACCACTACTATAGTCACCCCAGATATTCTTTGTGGTAGAAGCATCTTCACTACCCTGTTTCATTGCGGCTCTGAAAGCCCTGCTCTTAGCTGCCCCGCCCTCCGCCCCGGCAGCCAGAGCAAGGGCAGCGGCGGCCGGAGGCAGGTGGGGCGGTGCCGCAAGAAAGCCCACACTGATTGGTTGGTGGGAGGGCCCCGCCAGGACCGCCACGCTAATTGGCTGCTACTCGGGGGGCCCTGTTTCCGGTAGGTCGGCGGGCAACCCCGCCGCCGTCATGGCGACCGGCGACCGGGAGAGGGCGCCGCTTCTGTGGCCAGTGGAGGCCCGGTTGGCGGCGCTACTTCCCGACCTGCTGGTCTTCCGGAAGCCCCGGGCACCAGAAGCCGAGCTGGCCACGGCCCAGGGCGTCCTCCTTGGCGTCCACGTGACGGGTGAGGGCGAGGGCAGGCGCGTCGCTCCCCGGCCCGCCCCGGCGGCGGCCGTTGGGCCTCCGCTCCCAGAGCCGCGGGAGCTCAGGCGCCTTTCTCTGCCGGTCGCCCGCGGGGACCAGCGCCGTTTCCGAGCAGGAGGACGCCGCTAGGGATGCTCTGGCTTAGCCCTTGGGTTCTCTTCAGAAAGCATGAAATTGCGACTCATAACACTGAGAGGCTGTTCATTTAACGGGTGTCTAGGGAGCGTGTGTGTCATGAAGATGAGAGATTCAAGGAGCTCAAACTACGAGCTCTCCACAAAGCATGAGCCTGTTCCCGTGTGCTGCCTGCCTCTCACGTGGGGAGAAATCCTGAGGGTCCCTCGGCCAGGGCGCCGTAGGGAAGGGTGGGCGAGGGGGCGCTGGCTTCACGGTCTGCAGCTCCTGGAGCAGTGAACCCGATTTCCCCGCCCCCTGACAGGACGATGGGGCTGCTAAAGCCCAGACATCTGCTCCCACCCTAACCGGTTTGGCTCAGTGGATAGAGGGTCGGCCTGCAGACTGAAGGGTCCCAGGTTCGATTCCGGTCAAGGGCATGTACCTTGGTTGCGGGCACATCCCCAGTAGGGGGTGTGTAGGAGGCAGCTGATGGATGTTTCTGTCTCATCGATGTTTCTAACCTCTCCTTCTCTGTAAAAACTCAATAAAACATATTTAAAAAAATAAAAAGACATCTGCTCCCTTTACCCGGGTCTGATACGTGGAGGCAATAAAAGTTGAGGATTGTCAGCTAACGTAATCATCTCTGCTTTGTTGGCTAGGGTTCACAGCATTGATGGACAGGTTCAGCCTGACCTGCAAGTCGGAAGATGACCTGGACAAACTGGCCCACATTTTCAGTTATTACATTAGTGACATCATCGAGCGTGAGTGGCCATTGCAGGGGGGCAAGGAGGCGTGGCCTGGGCTCCCGCGGGTTGGCGATGGAAGGGGTCCTGGGGTACCTTAGAAGGGACACTGAAGGACCATTCTTTCAGTCTTACATTTGTTCCGGCAAGCTAGCTCTTTGTATCTGCCATTCTGTCCAGTCTCGCATCCCGTTGACTCAATGTTCAGAAACAGAACAACAGCTAGTTTTAACTTTGCATGTTTGTGTTTTATTTCAAAATAAAGCATTCCTCAGGCTGTCTCTTCTAACAATAATGTAACGTGCCTCATGTGTGTATATCAAATATAATTTAGAAAACCCCTTCCCGTGCCAGCATTGCATTTTGGTCCTGTGAGGTAGGAATGAGTGTTTATTTTCTGCCATGTATTAAGCTCGCGCATATTTGCCTAATTTGGAAAAGAAACTCCTTCTTTGTTCAGTAAACGTGTTTTTGAGTTCCCACTCTGTGACATGCACTATAATAGGTGCAGAGGGTGCAAAACCCTGTTGTTCACCTTTCAGTCTGGTTAGGCCCACCCAACAGGAATTACTCTGGCCCTATACCCTTTAGTACCTATATAACATTCCGGTTCTTGGCGGACGGTGCCCCATGCAGTTATATCCATCATTCTGAGAGTCACCAGAATACTAACTTTGCGCCGTCTCCTTTAGAAACGATTCTTTGACCGACCCCTAACCCATGAGGAGCAAGTGTTAAAGGTCTTTCAATTCTCACCAAGTGTAGATGAAAGGGGGAGATAGAAGTTATGAATTAGGAATTGTAACATCAGGAACTTCTGGGTACTAGAAATACAGGTACATACGACATAGTACCTGTCCTTGTGGGATAGACAAATAATGAACAATTATAGATTATACATTCTACAAAGGAAATAAATAGGGTGTGATGGTTAAGAAGAATTATAGGGTGAGCGTTTCTATATTAGGGTAATCAAAGGGGGTGTTTAGGCTGAGAGGTAAATGGTGAGAGGAACACCTTGTGAAGAGCCAAGTGTACAGCATTTCAGACGGAAGAAAGCCAAGTACAAAGTTTCTGAGATGGGAGAAAACTTGGCATATTCTGGGAAGTGAGAAGGCCAGTGTGGCTAGAGCCAGGGTGGGGAACATCTGGCCTGTGGGCCACATAAGGCCCACGAAATCATTTGATCTGGCCCAGCCAAGGCATTAGGGGTGAATTCATTAAAGCAGGCTGATTTTTAAGTTAATAATTTTGTATGGCCCACAAATGATGTTAAAAATATCCAAATGGCACTTGGTAGAAAAAAAGGTTCCCCTCCCTGGGCTAGAGCATAGCTAGTGGAAGAAAAGTGGCTTGAGGTGAGGTTGGAGATCATCAAGCTGTAAGGCCCGTCGTCGGCAAACTGCAGCTTGCGAGCCACATGTGGCTCTTTGGCCCCTTGAGTGTGGCTCTTCCACAAAATATCATGTGTGGGCGCGCATGTACAGTGCGATTGAAACTTCATGGCCCATGCGCAGAAGTCGGTATTTTTGTGGAAGAGCCACACTCAAGGGGCCAAAGAGCCACATGTGGCTCGCGAGCCGCAGTTTGCCAACCACTGGATAAGCCATCGTAAGGAGTTTGGGTCATACATGTCAGTACAAGGGAGTATGATCTGATTTACATTTTTTTAAAAATATATTTTATTGATTTTTTACAGAGAGGAAGGGAGAGGGATAGAGAGTTAGAAACATCGATGAGAGAGAAACATCGATCAACTGCCTCCTGCACATCTCCCACTGGGGATGTGCCCGCAACCCAGGTACATGCCCTTGGCCTGGGACCCTTCAGTCCGCAGGCCAATGCTCTATCCACTGAGCCAAACCAGTTAGGGCTGATTTACATTTTTTAAAAGCTCATGTTAGCTGCCTTGGGGGGATTGGATTATAGGGAGCTGAAGAAGAGTAGGTGGTAAGAATGGAAGCTGGACGAGATCATTGGAACAGCTGTTAAAGATGATGGAGAATTGGTCTAGGGTAGTGGTTCTCAACCTTGGCGGCATGTTAGATAACCACTTGGGGAGCTTTTCAAAGTCCTGATGTCTACATCAGTTAAATCAGACTATCTTGAGGTAGGCCCAGGAGTTGGAATTTTAAAAGTTTTACAGGCAATTCCATTGCGCAGCCAAGGTTGAAAATAATGGTCTTAAGATATGGCAGTGGAGTCGTATGGCGATGGATTGATTTTATATATAGGGTGTCCCCCCAAAACATATACACATACTTTGAATAATTATATAAAGACAGTGTCTATTAAAACACATTTTATTTTCAAAATTAAGCTACCAGCTGTTAAAGTGTGTATACATTTTTGGGGGGACACCCTTTATATTTTGCAGGTTCAACACACAGGATTAGCTGATGTATTTTTTCTTTTCTTTTTTGATTTCAGAGAGGAAAGGAGAGAGATAGAGATATAGAAACATCAATGATGAGAGAGAATCATTATTTGGCTGCCTCCTGCGTGCCTCACACTGAGGACTGAGCCCACAACCCGGGCATGTGCCCTGATTGGGAATTGAACTGTGACCTGGTTCATAGGCCAATGCTCAACCACTGAGCCACACCAGCCGGGCTGATTATTTTTTCAGTGGGAAGTAGTGAGGAAAGGGACTCAAGTTTTCAGCTTTCATAACTGAATTGATGGTGGCATCACCTACCAAAATGGGAAAGTCTGAGCTTTGAGAAAGAAAATCAGGATTCTTTTTTTAATATATTGAGTTTGAAATGTCAATAAATCATTCAAATAGAGAAATCAAAGTGAGTTGATGGGGAGAATATAAATAAAGAGAAAGAGCCTAAGACTGAGGCTTGAAGAACTCCAGGCGAGGATTATGATTAGGGAGAAAGAGAAATAACCTACAAAAGAGTCGATAAGACAGACAGTGAGGTGTAGAATATTGTGGTATTTACCTAACCAAAGGGGAAGTAGTGTCTCTAAAAAAAAGAGGTGGTGGCTAGCTGGGTTGAAAATGAAAGGTGTCTAATACAGTGAGGTCAGAAAATACTGAATTTAGCA